GGGGGGGGAAGCTTAGAGAGCCTGGGGGAGCTGTACCGGGGGGGGGCAGACAGTGATGGGGGCGGGCTGTACCGGGGGGGCAGAGAATGACAGAGGGGAGCCCCAAGCCAGACGCGGAGGGAGCCCAGCAGCCCCGGCACAGCCTGGTACCTTGCGCCGCTTCTCGAAGTTGATGTATCCGTTCTGCCAGAGAAATGAGAGGTGCCATGAGTCCCGCAACCGACCCCCCCACATTCCTGGCCCCCCCATCGCTGCCCTGCCCCCCGCTGCCTGGCCCCCCATCGCTCCCCCATCTCCCCCATTGCTCCCCTGTCCCTCGCTGCCTGGCCCCCCATCACCCTCCCCAGCTCCCCACTGCTCACCTGTCCCCCACTGCCTCCTTGCCTGGCCCCCACATTGCACACATGCCCCCCCGCAGCCCCACTCCCTGGCTGTCCCCAACCCTCCTCATGCCTGGCCCCCCAGCCCCTCCCCCCGAGCCTGGCCCTCAACCCCAACGGGGTCCTAGATCACCCCCCGCCCCCGGTCTCACCTCCAGCTCATCCTTCATGGCTGTGTCCAGCATCACCAGGTCTCGCAGGAAGGTGCCGAGGTACGGAACCACGCCCTGGGGGGAGCAGGAGGTCAGAGACCGGGCAGTCAACCCCCCTGCCCAGCCCCCCACATATCCCCCACCGTGCGCCCTCCGGCCCCGCACAAACCACCCCGCCAACCCTCCCGCCCCGCAGCACCCCACCTAGCGCCCCCCACACCCGCTATGTCCTCCAGCCTCCCACATAACCCCACACAAACCACACCACCAACCCCCTCACCCCGCAGTGACGAAGTGGGGATTTTCCCTTGTTATGTTGTTTGTGAGTGTTACTGGTGAGCCTAGGTGACTTTTACTGTTTTGCATGAATAATGCGTGCCTCAGTTTCCCTGTGTGCTGCACCAATACCTCGGTGGTGGGAATGGGGTGTGTGACTTTGACTGAGACCCTCTGGGGCAGGTGAGTCTGCTCCAGCTGCCTGCACATATGTCGTAACCGGTGCCCTTCGTAACCCGAGACCCGGGGGGGGGGGGGGGAGGTTGCAACCAGGTGATGCAACGGGGGTGTCTGCGGTCCGGTTGCTGGAAGCTGGCGGTCTGCTTGGGGGGGACTGGAAGATGGGGAGTCCAGGCCGCCTGGCCCAGGACTTCCCAAGATGGACTTGGCTGAAAGTCACTGATTTCTGTGCTAACAAGCTCTGTTGGACGCTGTGTTCCTGTCAACTAATAAACCTGTTTTACTGGCTGGCCGAGAGTCACTTCTGACTGCGGAGTGGGGGGTGCAGAACCCTTTGGCTTCCCCAGGACCCCGCCTGGGCGGACTCGCTGTGGGAAGCGCACAGAGGGGCATATGCTGAATGCTCCCAGGAGAGACCCAGGAGGTGAAGCCGTGTGAGCTTCTTGCCCTGAAGACGGTCTGCTCCGAGGGAGAGGAGGCTTCCAAAAGTCCTGACTGGCTTTGTGGGGAGCAGTTCCAGAGCATCGCCCGGGGACTCCGTGACACCCGCCTAGCCCCCCCCACGCCCACCATGCACCCTCCAGCCCCCCACATAGCCCCGCACAAAGCACACTGCCAACCCCTTTGCCCCGCAGCACCCTGCCTAGGCCCCACACAAACCACACCTCCAGGCCCCAGTGCCCCACACATATTCTCCACCCCCACAGCCCCCTGCCTAGCCCCCACCCACCCCAGTGTACCCCCACACAAACCACACCTCTAACCCAAGCCACTGGGCCCCCCACATATCCCCCACCTTACTGTGCCTCTGCCCAGCCCCCCATATACCCCAACCAGGGCTGCCCAAGCCCACCACACCCCCAGTATCCCCCCCACCTCTTCCCCCCCCCCCATGCCCTGGAGGGGGAGAACAGGGACGGGGCAGCCCCTCCAATCCTGTGCCCCTCCCTCCCCCACTCACCACTGGGCGCTGCTCCTGGGGTCTCCGCGGCTGCCGGCGTGGGGCAGGGTCGGCGCCAGACGGTTTGGAGGTGTCGTCCTGGGGGGCAGAGGAATGTGAGAGGGGCACAGGGTGCGAGTGTGGGGAGGAACAATGAGACATGGGAAGGTGTCAGGGATGAGGGCGGATACAGGAGACTGGGTGAGACATAGGGGTTAGGGGTCAGGGGTCAAGATGGGGCAGTTGGGTAGGGAGGGGGCAGAGGGAGGGAGTGGGACAGGATGGGAGAGGGGGACATTAGGGGGCCATGGCGAGGAGGTTGGCAGGAGGCAGTATGGGGGGCTGGGAGCCGGGGGGGCAGGATTGGGGGCAGGCAGGAGGTAGAGTGGGAGCACAG